GCTCCAAGTTCATTGCTCGTCACTCTTGAGCTCTGTGGCATATCCATTGACTGTCCTGCCAGCTGCCCACCTCTGTGTCCCTGCACTTTTCATGAAAGTAGCCACCTTGATGGGCATCAGTCTCCGTGGCCATAAGCGGCACAAACCCACCATGTGGCTCCGTGGCGCCTTCCTTGACATCCAAGGTCTGAGTAGCAACTCTGTGATGAGACATGTGCAAGAGAATCTTCCCTGGAGTTGCTTTCAAGGGGGATCCCCTCCGAATAAATCGCCACTCATTAGGCAAGGATCCCGCCTTGCCCAGTGGCAGGGCGGGCAGTCGGGCATCGAATTTTAGCAGGGTTTTGAAAACCCCAGAACAGAAGGGCAACTTGGTTGCCAGTGTAACTGAGAAATCCAGGAAGGGCCCAACCAGATGGCATGCGGCTTGGCGGTAATTGATGCTTGGGATCGTAAGGAGAGCCGCTGGTCCCCTGCTGCTTCCCGGAGGGGGTGCATCCTGGATCTCCTTGTGGTGCCACCCTGGTGGGCGGCTGATGCCGCACTGCTGTGCTCCCCTCGGGGTAAGGAAGGCTCTGGCTGCCCACGCAGGCCTGCCCGGGCTTCCCCGGTTATTTCCATTGGTTCCTGAAGGCTCTGTGCGTGGGCCTGGCCTCTGACGAGCACAGGGCATCGCCGTGCAGCTTGAGGGCAAAGCGCCACTTCCCTCTCCTGCTCTGCCTCGCTGGCTGGGAGAAGCCGGGCCTTGCTGTGTGCTGCTCTGAGCCTGCTTCTGGTGTGTCTTGCTGGCAGGGCTCTCCTCATACTGGCTAAAAGGGCCTGAGCGGATTGAACATTTCAAGAAGGCCCCAGCCATTTCCCAAAGGAATAGAAGGCTTGCTACACATTCATTTCTTGGCCAAGCAGCAAGAGGTAGCATTTTTAAAGGAATGGTCTGCTGCCTGCACAACCATCAGTCAACGCCGCCTGGTGCTCTGAACGGGGCCTGGAATTCCGAGTTGTGCTCTTTCTTCCGTGGGGCTCTTTGAAAGAGAACCTGGCAAGATGGGCTCTCTCGTCCCCGCAGGGATGTGTCCTAGTTGGTGGGGACGGATCTGCAGTCGGCTCGGGTGTGCTGGGACTGCAGCCGAGGCCAGATGATATGTGCGCGGCTCTCACCAGCTCTGGAAAATTTCAGCTGTGTGATGGAAATTTGGCCTCCTCTCGGGGAGGGGGGAGGCGCTCGGTGCTTCCTCCTGGCCGCAGCAGCCCATTGAAGCTGCGCAGCTGGTGTCCTTTTCCTTTAAAAGAAAGGCAGGCGTGCGCCCACACCCGCGAGTGTGCGTGCATGTGCAGAGGTGCAGAACAGATGGCCTGAATTTTTCAGCTAGCTCTATGGAAAGTCACTGAAGTAACTTCCTGCCCAGTTGGTGTTCTGTATTTTGAAGAAGGGGTGGGAGCTAGAGGCCTTGCCTGGAAAATGCATCACGGTTGCCTCGTTCCCCTGCCCATGCAGCCCCAAAGCTGAAGGCACCGCAGAGAGTGGCTTTGGACGTGGACTCCCCACAGGTTTGTTTGTTTAAAACATTTCTATGCCGTCCTTTGCATAGTCTCAGGACGGCTCACAACAACGGATTGGATTTCTCCCTGCTCTCGCTTTCACCAGATCTGGAGGGATGGGCCCTTTGGGCTCTGGGCAAGACCGGGGTGCCGAAGATGGCACTTGGTGGCAGCCACTTGCAGCTGGACCTGGGCAGCGCTTGCCTGAGGTCATGGTGGCACTGCGGCTTAGGCCTCCCCCTCCATTCCCCACCTCGGGGTCTGGGAAAGAGTCCCCGTGGTGGGAGTCAGCAAGAGGGCGCCAGTTCCCCCAGGGGATCCCCCCAGGGCAGTGCCGGCAAACCACAGCGCTGAGCAAGGAGGGTGGTGGGTGGCTGAGCAAGGAGAGTGGCGGGCGAGAGCTCCGCTGGGGAGGCCCAGGGCCCCTGTGGGCTGAACGGCACCTGACGGGCAGGCCCACAGCCTGCCAGGCACATCACCTGGTGCGTCTGCCGGGGAGCCCAAGTGCAACAGAGCAGAGCCGAGCCGCCTGCCCCGCTCCTTCCCTGGGGAAGGGGCACCGGGCAGCAGAGCTGTGCCAGCCGGGCTGCCCTCAACTTCCACGCCACCTGTTCTGGCCTGCGAAGGGAGGCCAATTCTGCAGGTGCCTGCCAGCCCCCAGTCGACTGCGGCTGCCCCTTGCCCCATTTGCATGTGCACCCTGGCTGACAGACACAGTACACTGAGGCACATTAAATACCAGGGTGGATAAAAAAAAGCATTAAAAGATCAAAATTTGATTTTTTAATTTAAATTGGATTTTTAATACAATGCTTTTGAGGAAATATCTAAAATAGTTTTCTGATTGAGATGCATCATAACCCAAAGATTGTTCATCATGAAATAAGGATTAGTTTTTAATTATGTAACATGAGGCTGTATATTCATGCAATGTTTAAATTTTTTGATAAATGAATTCCATTCATCCATTCACAATGTCATGCTCTCCCAGAGGTTTCTGCATGATTATTGGGTAATTTTTCTATCTAGAAAATATTGTCACAGATGCTCGGTATTATTAATATTTTGATGATGCAGCTTTGTGTGCAGGTGTGTCTGCAAATTATATAGAAAACCATGATTGAATCTAGTCTTACTGACTACTGATTTAAATCATGATTTGAATTGATATGGTTTAAATCAAATCCACCCTGTTAAATACATAACGATTTCAGATTAGAAAGCAGCACCCAAGCCAGCCCTCCCACTCGCTGGCCCAGCACTTTTTGCAGAAAGCATTCCTTGCCAGCAGAGGAGCAGCGTGGGAGCAAAACTCGCTGCCCTTGGAAAGGGTTTCTGCCACATGGGGCTCCCCACCGAAATGGCCCTCTCTCTCAGGTGGCCACCAAGCGCTCCTCTGAAGGTGGCACTCGCACAGGAAGGGCCTTTCCAGAAGACTGCCTTGTCTTCTCCGATCCTGTCCTCCCATCCCTTCTCCCTGAATCCCTAGCAGCCTCCAGGCAAGAGGGCAGGGCTTGAGGAGTGAGTGGGGACTGCAGAAAGAGCCCTGTGTGGTGGGCGAGATGGACAGCCTCTGAAGGCCGGTGAGGAGGTGTCCTTCCCTGCTTCCTTGCCATCATGAACATGCGAGGTCAGCACCAGCTTTGAGTCAGGCCGGAGAATGATCTGCTGATGATGCACTGCCACCCCACAATCACAGCAGGCAGTTTCCGGCTGGTTTTAAGGGATACATACACAACACACTGAAGCAATCCAGCCAGGAGGCTTCCAGAGTGTGGATAACTACTGCCAGAATGGCTCGCTCTCAGTCACTCCAGGGTCTCCTCTGCTGGATCCACCTAAGCTGGTAGGAAGCCTCTGGGAGCCACTGGAGACACCTCCAGTGGCAATGACAGATCTGGGGCCTTGCACAGGTGGAGAGCCTAAACCTCAACCATTCCCGGGCCTATCCAGGCCCAAACAGTAGATGTGATTTGCTCCATCTTCTTGTGCGGCCAAGAAAACCAAATTCATGGCATGGCCACGTCTTCCGTGCCAGTGATGCACGGGGAGCACTCTGGGGTTGCCTTGTCCGAAAGGTCCTGAGCTTGTCAGACTGGACAGCATTGGGGTGGATGCTGAGCTCCCCCAGAAAAGGAACCCCAGCAGTTCCTCAGCAAAAGGCCATGACTGTCTTGTCAGCAAAAACTGCCATTCACTGTGAACTAGTGGAATCCGTCACATGCTCCGAATACCTGATGCCAGAGACAGGCACTCAGAATGGGCGCGTGGGGACCTCTGCCATCCTCCCTGTGCTGACACAGGGCTGCGTGTGGCTGAGGCGGCCAGTTGTGCCCTGCTTGCCCAGGTTGTGGCTGCTTGGGCTCAGCCAGCTCCTCATCCATTTCTGATTGTGGTGGCGGCTGTTGCCCACCCCAGTAGACAGCAGAAAACAGGAAACTGGGGTGGCATGATCCCCCACCCTGCAGATCTTGGGCGCGTGGTATGATTCTTCTGCCTGCTCTGGGAGGTCCTTACTCCAAGTAGCTAGTCCCTGTGCTACAGGGTGGACCAGGCACAGTCACTCCCATGGCTGGTATGGGTTGCCTGGTCCCCTCCCTCCCGCTCTCCTTCAGTTTGTTTGAAAAAGGGTTGAAAGGTTGGAATTTTCCTGGAGGCCAGGACTACAGCTGATGCTGCCTGGTTTCAGCTAGTCGGAGCACGTGGCAGCAAGAGTGCTGGGCTGGCCTCGCTGCTGGGGCAATAAATGAGAAGGTGCTGGAGGCCGGGGTGGTGAGGCTGGCAGGAGGAGGGGCGCCTTGAGCCCTCCTCTGCCATCCGCTCTGTTCTGCTTAACCAAAGGCAGTGCCCTTCCTTGCAGGCGGCCGGCTGAGCCCTGTCCCTTCACACAGGAGCTTTGCCAAGCACCCTCTTTCTGAGCACCACCCTGCTTTGCAGCAAGAGGTGGGAGGGGAGGGCGCACCGTGTCCCTCCTCACACACTGCCTCACTTTTGTTCTCCGGAAGAGCCGCACTGGTCCAGGAGTGGGTGGTCCTACAGCGCCCAACGGAGCTCCTGGCCTTTTGTGCGATTCGCCTTCCACCTCTGACGCATCCCTGGCTCTCCGCCCTGCCGGGCAGGTGTGTCTCGGAGCAACCGACTGGGCTTCTGATGCAGCTGGTGGAGACAATAAGCCAGGACGAGACCAAAAGCTGAAGGAGAGGCCGTGTGGCACCACTCCAGAAACTGGACAGGAAATTGTGCTGATGTCCTCTTCCCAAATCGCCATTTGGTCACTTGCTGTGTCATCGCCCTCTGCCCCACATTCCCCACAGTGGCTGCGCAGAAGCAGCGGGAGCCTTGCCTGGCCATGGCAAAGCAACCCATCTGCCCGCCACCGCCCTGTCAGCCCCCCCCCCCCAATACTGCCCAGCTGCCTGCCTGGGGATCAGTGCCAACTGGTGCCTTTTCTTTTCTGCAGGGGGGGCGCGGGCCCCGGTCAGCCAGCATGACGGAAGGCTTTGACTGCGCGGGCTGTAAGGAGTCCCTGTACGGGCGCAAGTACATTCAGGTGGACGAAGGGCCCTTCTGCATCCCCTGCTACGACGCCCAGTTCGCCAACACCTGCGATGAGTGCAAGGAGCTCATTGGGCACGACTGCAGGGTGAGTCCCCGAGAGCCTCCGCCACATGCCAGGGGCGAGCCAGGCACGAGGCGGGGCGAGTCCTCTTCCCTCAAGGTGCACGGTAGGCGTCTCCGTGGAGGGCGAGTGGCCACGATCCTTGGAAGGACCGGCTGCTCTTCCCTTGAACACACGTGTGCACGCACCCCATCCCCTTCCCCAAGCATGTGCCCAGAGGTGCCCCGCATGATGGGCTCACCAGCTCACCTGCAGGGCGCCCCATGTGGCCTGTGTAGGTGGCGCTGTCCAGCAAGATGGACATGCGGGGATGGCCAAAGCTGATTCCAGGGTGAAGATCATGGGCAGCAGGTGTTTGCCCTCACCGAAGGGGAAATAAGCCGGGGGGGGGGCAGGTTTGGGCAGCTCAGGAGCAAAAGACACAGACCCCTGCGGCTCTGGCCAGCTCCGCTCCCTCGTGCCCGCCATGCGTGTTGCCACTGCCCAAGGGGCTCTGGGAGCAGAAAGCAGCAAAGCACGGCCATCACTGGCTTCCCCCGGCTCTGACTTCCGAGGACACGCAACCAGGCCTGCCCCTGCTGTGTGGCCATCTGTGGGGCACTGAGCACACCCCCCGCAGCAGGCCCAGAGGAGTACGCAGAGCCCTCGTGGCTGGCTTCCATGCAGAGCCGCTCTCTCAGAAGGCTCCCGCACTCGGTGGCTCTCCAGCGGAGGGAGCAGTCCACGGCTCATGGACTGGCCACAGTGGCCGGGTGGAGTGCCCCACATGCAAGGGGAGGCATCCACGGAGCAACCTGAGAGGAGGGGAGGCCCGTCATGACTGCCTGCGTGGGAGCTCGCTGGGGCACCTCCACGGACCCCCTCTGGAGAAAGGGGGCCGGGCAGCATGGGCCCTCCTTGGAAAGGCCCTGTCTCCTGGCTCCGCTTTCAGCCCTGCTGGTTTCAGGCGCAGAAGTGGTGCTGGGGATCAGGTCACGGTCTGTGTACGTGACCGCCAACAAAGCGGCGCCTTCTTTCACTGCTGTGTCTGGCTTGGCCCCCAGTTTCTCTCTGCTCCTCCATGCGCCAAGCTCCGGCCCCTTCCACTGGCAAGTAGCCCCCTCCACCACCTCCGGAAGTCTGGTGGTGCGGCTGGCTGCAGGCGGGAAGGCCCTCACCCCGACACCCACTTTTCCCCTCGCAGGAGCTCTACTACGAGGACCGCCACTACCACGAGGGCTGCTTCCGCTGCTTCCGCTGCGACCGCTCGCTGGCCGATGAGCCCTTCACCTGCCAGGGGGAGGCGCTGCTGTGCAACGACTGCTACTGCCGGGAATTCTCCTCGCAGTGTGTGGCCTGCAAGCAGGTGGTCATGCCAGGTGTGTGCCGCCCAGCGAGGGCCGCCCTCCCTCCCCTCCCGCGCCGCGGAGGGAGGGGCTGGTGCATCCGCTCCTGCCCGCCCGCTCACAGCCCGCTGCCCTCTCCGCAGGCTCCCGGAAGCTGGAGTACGGCGGGCAGACGTGGCACGAGCACTGCTTCCTCTGCAGCGGCTGCCAGCAGCCCATCGGCTCGTGCTCCTTCATCCCGGACCAGCAGGACTACTACTGCGTCCCCTGCTATGAGAGCAAGTTCGCCCCCCGCTGCACCCACTGCAAGAAGGTTGGTCCCGTGGGGGTGGGGGCCCTCGCCCGCGTGAACCTACCGTGCGGGCAGCGGGTCGTAGGAGGGGAGCGCTGCAACCTGCCAGTGCAAACCCTGCTGCTGTGCCCGCAGTCGCTGACGAAGGGTGGCGTGACTTACCGGGATGAGCCGTGGCACAAGGAGTGCTTTGTCTGCGTGGGCTGCCAGACGCCCCTGGCCGGGCAGCAGTTCACCTCTCAGGAAGACCAGCCGTACTGCATCAAGTGCTTCGGGAGCCTCTACGCCAAGAAGTGCAATGCTTGCGAGAAGCCCATCACCGGTGAGCAGAATGCACCCTGAGCAGGGCGAGCTGGGGGCATTTCTGAGATGAAGGTCGCCAGCTGGAGGCAGGGTGATGGGGGCAGCGTGGGCTGCTCCGGCCCCACTGCCGCTTCTGTGGGGTTGTGTGTTTTGCTCCCCGTGCCAATGCGTTCTCTCTCTTCCAGGCTTTGGAGGGGGCAAGTACATCTCCTTTGAGGATCGCCACTGGCACCACAATTGCTTCAGCTGTTCCCGCTGCACAACCTCGCTTGTGGGGAAGGGGTTCATTCCTGAAAACGAGGAGATCTTGTGCCGCGAGTGTGCTGGCGACCTCTGAACAGCTCCTGGCGGCTGCTGCCCTTCAAGCTTTCTGTGTGCCAAAGTCCCCTCCTGGAGCAACAGCGCCGGCCCTCAAGGGAGCCTCCCCTTCTCGCCAGCCTGGCGCTTTCATGCCCTCTGTGGCTGGGCTGGCCTGCAGCTTGAGCAGCTGTCCAGATTCCTCAGGGTGGCCTCTGCCCCAGCAGTTCTGCTGCGAGGTGGAGGGCCACTGGCTCCCCTTCCCTGGCCCAGGCTACTTGCAGAGCTGTGGCTGGGCACCGCCCGTTCCTTGAAGCAGGGTGCCGTTACTGACAGTCCCACCTTGCGGAGAGGTGTGTGCACATGTGCGCATGCTTGCAGCAGCATCCCAACACATGCATGCATGCGCACATGCACACACTGAATGTGCATTTCCCCATGAATGCCCCATCTTGGGTCTGGAGAATGGACCTGCTTCCTAGAACAAGGCCTATTCACCCTCCCCTTTTCCTAGAGAGATCCAGCTTGCTCCCTGGTAGTCCCTGCCTTTGTAATAAGCGGGGTGAAGAATGGCGCAGACCCCCCCACCACCACCACTGCTGTGCCCCATGTGGCCCAGCCCTGCCCTGCCACTGATGCCAGGAGTCCCCCCTCCCCCCGGCTTCACTTCCCAAGGCCACAGTGAGTGTGCAACCCCAGTGAACATGGATCTTCCTGCCTGGGATTGAAGCTGCCTCTTCCTCGGCAGCAGACAAGAGTGGGCACTTGGGACCCAACACGCCTTTCCCAGGGAGGATGTGGAGGGGCGCCTGGGCCACCTCTCGCCACCCACAGGGACGAGGCAGCCCCCCAGGCCCGCAGCAGTGGGGCCTCCCTCGCCATGCAAAACCGATCCACGAGGAAGCCCGTTTCCCAGGCGCTCTGCCAGCGTCCCCTCCAGGCCCTGTTGCTCCCTCCCAAATCTCCTGTCCTCCAGAGGCTGCTGGTACATGTGTGGGCGGTCCTTCTGAGGTGTTGCTGCCTGGAGGCCAGGTGTGTGCCCACCTTTTGGTCCACGCTTCACCAGAGTGTGTCCCTTTCTGGCTTTTTCTAATAAATCATGTTACTGGACCGCTGGAATTATTCTCTTTAACAGGCTCTTGAGGTGGGGGGGGGATCACTCTGCCTTTGCTCCAGCCAAACTTTTAAAATTACAATAGTCCCCCAACCCACCCATCCACTTGAAGGTCTCTCCCCCCATCAGTAATTATTTTCCTGTCGTGGTTGGGGGTACCTTTTGTGCAAGTCTAGCATTTCTGTTCAGGGGCCCTCCAAGGAGTATTTGTAGGCGCTGCTGGAATTGGCTTCTTTCAAAACAGCTTTAGGAGGGAGGGAGGGAGGGAGGGGCTGGCACTCAGCCCAGCCGGGAATGGGGCCTCCTCTTTCCCCACCCCCCAGATCAGTTCCCTGGCTTTTGTTACCTCTGGGCCATTAGGATCCCATTACTGATGTTCTTCTCCAAAAAAGGAAATAGCCCAGATGCCAGTGGCCGGAGAGATCTGGATTCGCTCCCAACACGAATGGGTCATGACTTGCTTTGCCTGCCTGATTTATTTGTGGGGAGGGAGTGGTGTGAGGCAATGTGGTGATGTGGGAAGGCGTGGTTTTGTGGAGGCTGGAAATAGCCTCAGAGCTGTAAGTGAAGTCGCTGTGGCTAGAAACCAGATGTGAGGGGACTGGCCGCATGGTGCCGGGGGTGCTGGGGAAGGCGGCCTGGTAGCCAAGGGCCCTGCAGTGGTGCCGGCCTGGCCCTGGCGCAGCAGCCCTGTGCGGGGCTCGCCCAGGCTGTGTGGCCACGCTCCGTCCCTTGCACATCAAAGAGTTTCACCCAGACACACGGCCACACCTGCCCCATCCGGCTTGTGCAGGCAGGGCAAGTGCTACCCGGAAGCCTTGCAGTCCTCAGCCCTTGGGCCTGATGTGTCTCCTGGAGGCCGGACTTCATGCCCACCTCTGCAGGCCACAGTACCTGAGAGCGTAGGAACAGCTCTGCAGGCCCACTCCCATCTCTTCCAGCGTTCTGCTCACATGGTGGCCAGCCAGACGCCCACAGGCCCCCCAGGCAGCACCGGGGTGCTCAGCCTGCCCTCCGTGCGTTGTCGGTCATTTCAGAAACGGCCGGGCTTACATGGGCTGTGCCTCTCCCCCAAACTCTGCTTGCAACGTATGTACATGCATGCGTTTATTTTAGGATGCTCCTGCACTGCCTCTGGAGCAAGAAAGCCTTGCTTTTCACAGCATGTTACTAAATTAGTAAAACATGAATAATAATTTCAAAATGCAAATAGTAAGAGATAAAAGCCAAATAGGGCAAGAGCCAAACAAGTATAAATAGTTGTAGCACAAACAAGTGATGAATGTCCAAGTGCTCTGGGAGGCATACTCTGCTTAAGACATAATGAGGAAAGCCATTGCAAATAAAGGTGCCAAGATCAGACTGCCCTCATATGAATCACTGCTGCAGCGGCACTCAGAATATCAATGCAATTAAATAACTACTGAGCTTGATCACCAGACCTTTAAAAAAAAGATGATATAGCACTGGAAAGCATGCAAAAAAAAAAGGCAACTGGGGGTGGGGGAAGCAACTCCCATATGAAGAAAGTTTACAACAGCTGAGATTAGAAACAGCAGGAGTCAGAAGGGGCCTAAGATTGTTTAACTTAGGAAAAAAAAGAGGGAGGGGATACATGAGGGAGGTGTACAGAATGATACATGGTGTGGAGAAGGTGAGGGAGGGAAATACTCTGCATGGTGTGAAGGAGGAGATTCCCCCGCCCCCGCCCCCATCATAAAGTAGGGTCATTCCGTGAAGCCAAGGGTAGGAGATCCAGAGCAAATTGTAGGCAGCACTTCATGCAGCACATTGTGAAACCACAGAGTTCATTTTCACAAGGTGTAAGGTTGGCCACCTATCTGGAAAGCTTTCAAACGGGATTGGACAGATGCATGGAGAGGGCCACCTGTGCCTGCTAGTCCTGATGGATGTGCGCCACCTTCAGTATCAGGCAGAAGTCTACATACAGCAGCTGCTGGGGAACATGGGCAGTAGGGTGCTGCCACACTTGGTCTGCTTGTGAACAGCCAGGCAGCCGTCATGGGAACACGAATGGGCTTCATTCCCTCCCGCACGCACGCGCGCGCGCACACACACACTGGTACTCCTGTGTCTGTAGGAAGAGGGGGAGAGGAAAGGCAGCCACAGAGCTTTGCTTTTTCTTGGCTAGTGGGATCTTCCCGGCTCTGCCTATTCTACCAGCTGGCCCTGCAGCCACTCAATTTCTCCCCCTTCCCCACCTTTGGGCAACTCAGAGATTCTGAGCTGACCTGCATGTTTAGCAGAGCAAAGATATTCAGTGGGGTGCTGTTGGTATGGGGGGGGGGTTCTACTTTGCTTTTTGTTTGCATGTTTGTTTCAGCTACCCAGCTCCCTACATGTCGATATTTATGTTCATGAGCTGCTTTGCTACCGTTCCTAGAATAGGAACATGAGCATGTGTCAGATAGTACAAATATCCAAATTAAAAATAAAACGGCATCCGCGATTTGAAAAGCATGCACACGACCAGCAGGCAGGAAAGATTAGAATCTCCACTCCCACCCGCTTCCGCTGTGCTCCTCCCACTAGACTTTACTTGTCCACTTTTTCCAGGGGGGGTACTCAAAATAATGCTCCTCCCCAGCCCACCTGGTGTGAAGCAACTGCCCACACCTGCTTCCCACCTTAAGGGCTTCTAGGCACCCCGATGAGCACAGGCAGGAGAAAGAGCAGGCCAGAGGAGCCAGACTGTCGGAGCAACTGTGTCTGCAACGTTCCCTCATGCGAAAAGTTCTGCGGGCAGCTGCTTGGCAAACGGGGGCGACCAGAAGACGCCCCAGCCACCTAGTTGCAAGGAGCGTTTTCTGACGCGGTCCCGCAGGCCCAAGGCGCGCCCGCCCGGCCCGGCCCGGCCCGGCCCGGCCCGCTCCGCTCCGCTCCGCTCCACCGCCTCAGAGCGCGGCCCCGACGGCGCCCTGGCGAGCAGCGCGGCCACGCACCGCCTGCCCCCGCGGGCAGCCCGGCGCCGGTCACTGCGCTCCCGCTCCGAGGATCGCTCCCCCGGGGATCAGGCTCCCGCGGACTTCCGCCGCCAGGCTGCGTCCCCGGGACAGGGCCGCGTGCGCGCGGCGGGGCGCTCCGCGAGTGCCCAAAGCGCCCTGGAAGGGCTTCCCCGCCTCCCGCAGCAACGGGGCCGCGCCGTGCGCCGCTAGCCGCAGCCCGGGCCGCGCGATGGCGGGGGGCCAACGTGGCCACGGAGGGCGCGTCTCTCGGGCCACTCCAGCCCGCGCCCCCGCGCACAGAGGAGGGGCCCCCGGGGCAGCGCCGCTGGGCCCGCTCGCTCCCTCTGCGCGCCCCAGTCCGCCCACGGCGGGCCGGGCTGGGGCGGGGCCTCGTTCGGGCCGCGAGGGGGCGCGCTGACCCGGCGCGCGGCGCCTCGACGGCGGAAGCCGCGGGCGCGGGAGGCGGGCTGCTTCCGGCGCGGGCCCCTCTGCCGCCGCCGCCGCCGCCGCCGCCGCCGCGATGGAGACGATCCTGGAGCAGCAGCGCCGCTATCACGAGGAGCGCGAGCGCCTGATGGACGTCATGGTGAAGGAGATGCTCACGCGCAAGTCCACGGTGAGGGCGGGCGCGGGGGGGCGCGGGGCGGGCGGCTGGGCGCGGGGGGGCCGCCGCCGCCGCCCTCACCCGCCTCCCTTCCCTTCCCGAGCAGCTGCGGGACCAGATCAACTCGGACCACCGCACGCGGGCCATGCAGGACGTGAGTATCCCCGCGCCGGCTTCCCGGGGGAGGGCCCGGGCCCCGCCGCCGCCGCCGCGTGCCCCGCGCCCACGCTTCGGTCTCGCTTCTGTCTCCCTTCCAGAGGTACATGGAGGTGAGCGGCAACCTGCGGGACCTCTACGACGACAAGGACGGGTAAGAACGAGTCGCGCTCTCCCGCCCGGGGCCTGCCTTTGCCGCCGCCCGCTGGCCTCTCTCCGCGAGCGTGCGGCCGTTGCCCGGGCCGGGGCTCGTCTGGGGCCGGACAGCTCGCCGTGCAGGTCAGGCAGCCGCGGGGAGCCGTCGCGTTCCCCGTGTGGCCGCACGCCCGGTGGGACAGTCGTGCTGCTTCCTCTGGTCTCTCAGGTTGCGGAAGGAAGAGCTCAGCGCCATTTCAGGGCCCAACGAATTTGCCGAGTTCTACAATCGGCTCAAGCAGATCAAGGAGTTCCATCGGAAGCACCCAAATGAGGTGAGGGCGCCTTGTGTCTTTTGAGCTGGAGCGGTCCTCAGGTGGGGGGGTGGGTCCACTGGCCGGAAGAACCTGGCCCGTTCCATCACTGCGTGCCTGTCCGCCCAGCAACTTTGGGGTTCCAAGTTTGTTTTAAGCATTAAGTTGTTCATTTGTGTTCTGACTTATTGCTTTACTTATGTTGTTCCTGCTTTTGCTCCCATTTTTTGCTTTTGTTGTGCTCCTACATGCCAAGCGCAATCTCCACTGCCTTTTCTCAGGCCAGAGACTTCCTTACTCATAATGGAAAGGCTCATAACAATGGAAAGGCTCATAATAGCGAGAGATCTAGTGATGCTAGATAGGGAAGGGAGGCTGGCAGCCACACAACACGGCTTCCACAAAAACAGGTCCTGCCAGACAAACCTTGTGGAATTCTATGACAAGGTTTCGAGGTGGCTGGATGGAGGAGATGCAGTGGATGTGGTTTACCTGGATTTCAGCAAGGCCTTTGACAAAGTGCCCCATGATATCCTGGCGGAGAAACTGAGGTGTTTGGGGATACACCAAAGCACTGTGGTGGATTATTATTATTATTATTATTATTATAACATTTCTATGCCGCCCCTTGCCGAAACCTCGAGGCGGCTTACAACACAATAAAATACATTGAAATACAATAGAACATAATAAATTACCATTAAATACAAAATTACAAAAAATTCACTGAGTTACAAATATAAAATTAAAATTATCAGTATAAAATAAGTAAATAAATAATATAGGAGGAGAAAAGAGAAGGAAGAAGAAGTTGCCCTGGC